CCTCCAGCCCGCCATTACACAACTCTATTTTCAGAGAATATTTGGGACTGCACGCAATGGGATTTGTAGAGTCAGTGTTTGCTACGCAAAAGTATTTTTCAATATTTTCAAATCACGATAGTTTTTATTAAATTCAATCGCATAATCACACGCGAAAGTAATAAAGTTTTTGTTCGCCGGTTGTAATTTAAGCGATCGAGGTAATGTAGTCTTTTATTTTTCTTTTTATATATATATATTTCTGAACATTCGTTTCGATATTAGAGTCTCAAGAGGATAAAGCCTCTCCGGGAGCTCAAAAACATAAATACTTTTACGTATTGTATTTCAATTTGTTCAATTTTCTATATTTTGTTTGAATTATTGCTAATTAGAAAATAAAAACGATTGGTAATTTAAAAAGTTATAAATGCTCCAAAAGTTCCAAGTTCGTTATTACTCATTAACGATGTTAACTGTATTTTATGTTTTGTTACAGATACATCTTCAACTTGCTCGTCTTCTTTGGGGCCGATTGAACGGTGGCTCAAAAGCCAAGAATGTAAGTATCTTCACATATTGTATTTCGATTATGTCTATTCTGTATATCTTGCTTCGAATACTATCGATTAAGAAGAAAATTTGGAAGGTTAGGGTCTTCTCAGGTTGTTCTTTCATTAAGATTAAAAGATTGTTAATGTTTCAGCATGGTATTATAAAACAAACGTCTAACATATTTTAGAAATCATTAAATTCTTAATGTGTAGATTTGAAAATTTTATATTAGAGTTTTAGTTTATATATTTATCGAATTTTATTAGAATTTCAATCTTTATTACTACTAAAGTTACGAATTTAATAATATTTTCTTTATCTTCAACTTTTCAAATAATCAACAACCACTCATCGTGTTTTGTTTTGTAACAGGCTTTTCAGAACCTCTATTTCCACCGTTGGATTTCCAACGGTTCCTGCATGATATTAGTTTCCCTGATGATATCCGCTGGGATAGCGCAGCATCCATGGTAACGTCCTCTGGTTCTCCGCTTCGAACGGCGAGTCGCATGCATTTCTGTTCCTCCGGTCACTCAATCATGTCGTAGGATGAAAGGTCCGAATCGGCACAGATGACTGGTTGTATTACGTAGAATTTTTTGCGAGCATAGTGATCGCGGGTATTTTTTATACCCGTGAGTAGTAACATTCTTTTTTCAAATTTATTAGGATAGGTCTTCTTGCACATCGCGATTATAATAATTAGTTTTTTAATAGTTGATTTAAGCATACACATTTGAAAATAAATTCATGGTATTTGTAAATATGTATATTAGTATTGAGTGAGAATATTTGAGAAGGCAAATATCTACACGAATATGTCTGTATGACACAAGTATAGTCGATCTTAAGCAGTGAATTTTAGTATAAACAAGAGATATCGAAGTGATCTCGTTTGAGCATTGTGTAGTGGAGAAATCGGTTACCCTCCGATTTCGTTGCTATGAAAGCTGCAATTGTCACTCAAGGATAATGACGATACAGGCAATATACGATACAATAAATAATGTTGAATTTAATTTTCTCTTTCATGACAATATTAAGTCACATTCGTTTATTTGATTTCAGATAGAGTTTAAAATATGAGTTAAAATTCATTTTTTTTTTTCGTGCAAGAATGTGTAAAGTTTTATGTGCAAGAAGAAACTTCACGTTAGGCAGATTTTTGACTCGAAGCAATAATTTTGAACGCTACTTCTGTATTTTTGAAAAAGTGCTTTGAGGAAGAGATCGCCTGAGATTATTTCTATCTTAGTAATACATTTAGATTTAACCATTTTAATAATTATTCCATTTTATGGAGTCTTGGTCTTTTTTCAATTAATGCTACTTTTTTTGTAATATTAAAATTTCAGTGATTTATTAAATTAACAAAGTAGGATTATTATAATCTGAAACTAAGTAATAAAATATAAAAGTAGAGAGTATTAGTCCGTTAAATATAAATTGGACAAACTAATCATATTTTTAGATCAGAATTTTCAGATTTAACTCTTTTTGTGCCCATTGTCAGGATCTTATTCACGTGCCCAGGTGCTACTTGAATGGGAGAAAGACATTGGGCACGATGACCATAATTAATGTAAAAATTTCTCAGCGACTGACGATATGTTACTGTATCGTGCACGACACATATTCTACATTGTGTGTGTACGTGTGTGTGGTTAGGCTGTGGAATTGCGTCGTTTTTTCATTCGCTACAACTTAGAATATTAAAAATGTTGAGACATATATTAATTCAATGTATGTATCAATAAAATCACAATTTGTGATAATATCACGTACACGACTAAGTATAACCACTGTGTTAATATTTCTGTCAATTACAATCATAATTCCAAGTCTACTTACATTTATTTTAACGATATGATTCCTTTAGGCGTGTCTTATCACGTTTTGCGCAATGGTTACTAGCCTTCGTCAGTCGATTTCAGACAAATGGTACGTAAATTAGAGTGTGCATGTTGTATGTCAAGCTGTGGTGTCGGAGGCGTCCCGGGACGTTCTCTCTAGTGTAGGCTCTTGCGCCTGGATGTTATGTGTGAGAACCGTGGAGCGAGTGTGTTGATGTGCTTGTTTTACCATTTTTTAAATATAGGGCTGGGTAGGATAGGTAGTATACTGTCTGGTGTGTCCGCTAATTATAAGTAGGTAGGGCCGGACGGGTTGGCATAGTCTCTGGTCGGGTAGGCGCGTTTTCGTGTGACCAACCTGTTTTTGGAGATCTAATTTGAAAATTCGACGATGAAACTGGTACGAATAGAGCATGCTCTCGTCTCTGATTTTGTCTATTGATTTTTCGCGGACACGGACGCGAGTAAGTTCGAAGCGGACGTTTATATTGCTCGAGCAATTTATATTGCTCAGTCAACAACAACGACAAGTGATCGTTGGTCAGTCCATGTGCACTTAAATCAGCTTCCTCGGTTTATATTTTTAGTTTACCATTATAAGTCTTATTTTTGTTTGCGATTATAAAGACGAGCTTAGATTTAAGTTTCAGCGGGCATTGCACCCAGAGAATGAAGAGGCTATAAGCCGAAGAGGCCCGGCAAACTGCCATAGAAGAGGGCAACTACCAATGACTCCCTATCCTCTGGATCATCCACAGCATGGAAGTCATTCTTGTTACTACTTTGTCACTATGCTCGCTTTTAGTATTTGTAGTAATAGTAGTAGTATTTTTTTTCTTTGGCCGATGTATATACCGTCTCATCATCCCATTGGACAAATCGCGATATTTTTTATTAGTGTCGCGAGAGAATGATTACGGTTTGAATTAGAGTTGCGATAAAATGATAATCGTGCTTGCTTTAGAGTTGCGAATTATGATATCGCGATTGTCTTTTGCAATTTTTATTATGAATTCTTAGATCTTCTTAGAGAATTATACGTATGAGAATTTATCCAGCTTTATATTGTTTAAAATTAGATTATAAAAATGTTAGTTCTTAATTAATTATATAGTATTATAAGTTGGAATATCATGATATTTGAAGTAGCTTTTTTATATAATAAATAGTAATTTCCATTGAATTCAGTTTAAGGGTTAGCGTTGCGATAATGAATGATCGCGTTTTATTAAGTAATAGAGTTGCGCTTGCAAAATGCCCAAAATCCTTCTGGTTTTGCTTAACGATTTTTTGAATTTCGCGGTCGTGGTCGCGGTCGCGAATGGGCTCGGAACGAACGTTTATTACTCGAGCACGCACGTGCGAATGGGCAACGGTCACTGCTGTTTGAGTAACGAATGGACTGACTGTCCATGTGCACTTTAAATTAATTAATTAATTAATAGTAAGTACTTTTGGTACTTAGTAAAGTATGAATAAGAATGGACTATTCTAGAACTAAATAACTTCATCCAAACTTCTATATTTTCGACCTTTTTTTTCGTGTAGAATCACATCCTTTCCGCTTGTACCACCAGTTACCAACCACCCTGTATATGATACAATTATGAATCGAGTAAGAAATAATAAGAGCTGATTGATTGCAATCGCGATTATAGTTTTGTTGATTAGTTAGTGTTAATTTATTAGGTTGCTTGCCGTATAAAATGACAGAGGGCGTAAGAAACACTGATTTTTTCCATGTCGGTACTCCAGAATCTGTGTCACAAAATAAGCGAAGGATCGATGAGATACAGAATTTCTGTATATATCTACATATTTAGTCAATGCCTGTAGTTAATCGATGGTCTAAGTCTGTAGCCTAAGTTTACGATTAGTCCTAACCTTTGTTAGCGTTGAAGTCTTATTCTCTGCCGAATCAGTAACGTTGGAAATGAATTATAGTTCTTCTTTACCTTCAAAACATAAAGAAATATTCAAGTTAAGAGAGGCATCTGCTTTACCAGCGCTTACTAACTAAATACCAGCATTCGTGTTGCTACTTTCAAAGCATCTACATTGCCATTTTGAAAGTACTCGCAATTCAACTTCGCGCCGTTTATGTAAATTTCTATTACAATTGCATCCATACCGCAAATCGATTAAACGAAGCCGTGAAGTCGTTGGTTCTGACAGGGTATTCATTAGACGAAGGCGAAATTGCAGATAATCGCTCGTAGGCTTTTATTGCAACGATCTGCGTGTGCATTTCGCAATGGTTCAATCAAAGTTAGAACACATACCTAATGGAATTTGCGGTTACGCAAATTTTTGACGACTGCGTTAGTCTCTCAATTTTCTCGAGCAGATTATTTCATCGACCGGAACGACTCGACGTGTAAAAGTTTCTGCAATACGAAGCGTCAGCGTGTAACGCTTTGGCCGTTTTCGTTATTGCAATATTCTATTTTCGTTTTCAGTTGTGGGCTATTACTAGTTCTTTAATAACGTTCTTGCGAAAGTTTTATTTCATATTCATTACGAAAACAATTAAAAAATGTCAAAATACAGTAAATCGTAAAATATCATAATCAAAGAAAACGAAATATTATAAAGGCAACATATTCGTAATTGATGAAAATTTCCTACACTATGCATGCAAGTTTGTAATATATTATATGTGGGAATTAAAAGGCTCGTACGATAAATCAAATAAACTCAACGAGATAGCTCCCTTTCCAAAGTGGACTTTGATTTAATGCTTATAGTAAATTAAGCCGCGCCATTTTTCACCGTCCTTTACGGCTTGTTCCGCAATTTGTATGCCATAAACCTTCCTCGTCTGATGAAAATTTGCGAACTATTTTTCATTGATATGTTCTATAGACCTCGGGAAGATCATGTTTGTTCAACAGAACACCCATGGATTCTTCGTTTGATTTACGGATAAAGATCGAGAATCTGGTTGCTTAGAAAGTCAATGAGTTACTGTGGATGCACGTGTTTCGTACGGTATGAAAACACGGTCGTATAACAGCTGAGAATCAGGTTAACTCAATTTAGATTGTAGCTAACTCGACCTACCCGTGGGCTCTTAGTCGATGTTATTATTTAAAAGTAATATTCTCCAGTAGTAAACTGTGAGTGTTAATGTATTTAAAGAAATCTAAGAAATGCGCTTAATGTATAGCAATGTACAAAATATTTAAAGTAAAGTATTTACGTAGTTGTAATATTCAGAGTCTTTCAGAGGGTGGAACAGATCTTTATTTAGTTTTTGTTCCTTTAGTTGTATTCGGAAGATCTGAATATGTGCCATTTACATTCTGTTTATCTTAGGTGCTTAAAAATTTCTATTTTCTATTCAATATCTAGTATCGTTACTCCTGGATACGAAGCAGTTTTTTCTCGATGTCGTTCCGAGCGACTAACGAGTAGGAAATTAGTTTGTTACTCTGGAACGACGTCCTTGCTCCAGGACCAGCTCCCTCGTGTTCCAACTCTCCGAGTAATAAAATTCCATCATGTATAATATCTAAGCTTGCAGAATAGTTTAAATATAACCGGTAAATCCAGTATCGAATTGCATCGATCCTTCGTTTTTTCACCTTTGGTGAATTATTATTTTTTTGATAATT